TTTGGACTAACTGTTTGCTTAAGTCTTTGTTCTTCTTTGCTTTACATAGGAAGAGACCAATAACTCTATCTTAGACGGCTGTTCACAGGGTTCTAAGATCTCAGTCACTACTCTCCAAAGTAGGATGTAGAACATTGTCCTTATAGATTATGTTATGCCAATTGACCTAGATATCTCCCAAGACTATGGTCCTAAGCCCTTGAGCCCTGTGACTCAGTTCCTCAAGGTGTTTGATATGGCTAAGAAGTTTGCATAACTTTGCCCCATATGTTCTATTACATATCTGGATATATTTGCAGCATATACAAATACATTTGTAGAAATATCCTCTGCCAAACCTATATACACTAATGGGTGTACTCCCATGCACCATCCCATACCTAGTCAGCTTATATATCTACCTTCGCAGCCATTCATAAATTATTGTTGGTTATTACTGTGACTACAGGGTTGTGTATGTAATAGTATTTACTGCTGTTGCCTTTCACTCCTGCATACCTCCATGAGTCTTCCTTTGCCTTGGGTTATGCTGTGCTGACCCCCTCACTGTGTACTGCTCTTCCCTTCACCCACATTAATACATGTCTATTATTTAGTTAATGATTTTCCCTACTTCCTCCTCCCATTCCTGGCAACCATCAAAATGTTTCTTTCTTTGAGTAAACTCTTTCTTGACTTTTTATAATGGTGGTTTCATACAATATTTGTCCTTTTGTGATTGGCTTATTTCACTCAGCATAATGTCCTCCAGGTTCATCCATGTTGGGAGATGTTTTGCAGATTTATTATTCTTCTTTAATGTTGCATAGTGCTCCATTGTGCGTATGTAGCTTAGTTTGTTTGTCTATTCATCTACTGATGGTTTCCATCTTTTTGCTATTGTGAATAATGCTGTGATGAACAGGGGTGTTTATATATCTGCTCGTTATCACGGCTCTTATATCCCTAGGATATACACCTAATAGTGGAATTGCTGGATCATATGCTATCTCTATTTCTAACTTTTTAAGGATGCGCCATACCATTTTCCATAGTTGTACCATTTTACAGTCCCATCAGCACTGTATGAGAGTTTCAATCTCCTCATACCTTCACTAGCATTTGTTGTTTTCTGTGTTTTTGAACACTGCTATTAAGGAGCTCTGGTGGCATAGTGGACAAGGTCAGTAGTTCAAACCCACCAGCTGCTCTGTGGAAGTAAGATGGGCACTCTACTTCCATAAAGATTTACAGCCTCAGAAACCCAATGGGGATCCCTATGAGTCAGAATCAATTCAATGGCAGTGAGTTTGGTTTCGGTTTTATTATTGCCAGGGTGAGACGACACCTCATATTTGTTCTGATTTGCATCTGTCTAATAGCTAATGATCACTAGCATGTCTTCATGTATTTGCTGGCTGCCTGAATGTCTTTTTTGGTGAAGTGTTTGTTTACATCCTTTGCCTATTTTTCAATTAGACTGTCTTTTTATTGTTGAGGTACTGAAGTTTTCTATACATTTTAGAGATTAGTCCCTTGTTGGATATGTCAATGACAAAAATGTTTTCCTAGTCTGTAGGTTCTCTTTTCACTCTTTTGGAGAAGTGTTTTGATGCACATAAGTGGTTAATTTTTAGAAGATTCTAGTCATCTAGTTTATCTTTTACTGCTTGTGAATTTTTAGTTATGTTTGATAAATTATTTATGCCATAAATTAGGGCCCTTAAGTTTGCCTCTACTTTTTCTTCCATGATCTTTATAATTTTAGGGTTCACATACAGGTCTTTGATTCATCTTGAGTTAATTTTTCTGCAAATGGATATCCAGTTTTGCCAGCACCATTTGTTACGGAGATTATCTCTTTCCCATTTAATGGATTTTAGCCCTTTGTCCACAGGTAGATGGATTTACTTCTGGGTTCTTAA